ATTCACTCTCTCCCCTGTGACTCAGTCCCCCTTATCACTGTAAGCAAATCTCCCATCACACTAAAATCCTGCACACTGGCCGTATCTACTCTGAAACCCAATTCACTGGTTTCCCACCTGGCAGTTAAGGGAGTAAGACTTGCACTTACCCTTGTTTTCCTGTGGACTAGGGCAAATTCCTGAAGGTGCTCAGAGACAGAGGAAGTTGCAGGATGCTCCACTGTCTCTCACCACACTAACACCAAGGGAACAGGATCAGACACTGGGAGGCAGGATGCACCCAAGAGCATGACTGCCCTCCAGTGTGCACACAACCAGAATTTATCCATTCTATCTGTAGAAATTATTAAAAATAACCAGGATATTTTCAATTCAACAAGCAGTACTTAGGAATACATTGAGGAGTGTTCGACATTTAAAGATAATCTGTGGAAAAAACTACCCTCATTTGCTCCTCATCAACGTTAGAATCCTCTTAATCCTGTGCAAATGCTGAATTGTCCAATTTTTACTTAAACCTATGCATTGAAAGCTTCTTAAAAAAATATGAAAGGCCCAAAAAAACAACCCCAGATGAAAAACCCCACCCCCAAACTCCATGATGTAACCAAAAGATCTCAGGATAAGAAAGGATAAATACAAGCAGCTCTAGTAGTCTGACCCACAGTCAAATGTCCTTTTCACTAAACAGAACACAAAACATAATTACTACTTTCAGCCCAAACCACAAAAATATTTAAGAATATACTTGAATAATTTTCTTGATTACAGGTATTTTCTTGAATCTAAATATTGTCAGGTTTACCAGCAGTTTTTGAAGCAGTTATTTTCTTTGGACTTACTGTACTTCAGCTGTACTTGTACTTCAGTACTTACTGAAGCTGTACTTCAGTTTTCAATGATGTTCAGACCACAAGAAACATCTTCTATACTAACAATTATAATCTGAATGATTATCAAGTAACCAGTCAAGCCACAAAATGCTGACTCCTTTATTTCCCCCATCATTGTAATTTCCATCTTAGAGGAGGAATTTAGTTAAACACAAGCTATTTCTGTAATACAAGATCATAGACTAGTACAACAACCACCAGTTTACAATTTTTAAGGTCTAGATAATTTTCAAAACTGCATGTCCGTATTTTCAAAACCAGAAAGTACCATATATACATCAAGAGACCGACTAAGTAACAATTTAAAAAAAGCTGTCACTGTCCACAGGAACCATGTCTAGTCATGTTTTCAGTCAGTCAGTCAGCTCAGGGTCAAGTCATTTTTTAGTTTCTGTAGAAAAAACACAAGTACAAAAACAGCATCAAAAAGCAACATACCTATTTTTATTTTAATATATATCTTATAGAAAATAAGTATTATGCCACCATATCAATGAGGCTTTAAACATATTTAGAAGAAAAATATTAACATTTGATATATGCTTCTCCAGCTTTTAAGGAAGTAACTTTCTGAACACTGTGTGAAAGCCACCCATTATTCTTAATTTTCTTGATTACAGGTATTTTCTTGAATCTAAATATTGTCAGGTTTACCAGCAGTTTTTGAAGCAGTTATTTTCTTTGGACTTACTGTACTTCAGCTGTACTTGTACTTCAGTACTTACTGAAGCTGTACTTCAGTTTTCAATGATGTTCAGACCACAAGAAACATCTTCTATACTAACAATTATAATCTGAATGATTATCAAGTAACCAGTCAAGCCACAAAATGCTGACTCCTTTATTTCCCCCATCATTGTAATTTCCATCTTAGAGGAGGAATTTAGTTAAACACAAGCTATTTCTGTAATACAAGATCATAGACTAGTACAACAACCACCAGTTTACAATTTTTAAGGTCTAGATAATTTTCAAAACTGCATGTCCGTATTTTCAAAACCAGAAAGTACCATATATACATCAAGAGACCGACTAAGTAACAATTTAAAAAAAGCTGTCACTGTCCACAGGAACCATGTCTAGTCATGTTTTCAGTCAGTCAGTCAGCTCAGGGTCAAGTCATTTTTTAGTTTCTGTAGAAAAAACACAAGTACAAAAACAGCATCAAAAAGCAACATACCTATTTTTATTTTAATATATATCTTATAGAAAATAAGTATTATGCCACCATATCAATGAGGCTTTAAACATATTTAGAAGAAAAATATTAACATTTGATATATGCTTCTCCAGCTTTTAAGGAAGTAACTTTCTGAACACTGTGTGAAAGCCACCCATTATTCTACAGTATATTGTTGATACAAAATACAGTTAGAATATGCTCCAGACTTCTAAAAGATTAACTATGATAGAATTACTTTTTGAAAACATTTTTGCACAGAAATAAATTATAAACACACTTTAAACTTAAGGGTTTTAATAATTAAAGTTTCAACTAAAAAAAGTATGAATGCAAACAAAATCAGTGAAACAGAACTATTTCAGGACAAGAATAATAAAAGACAACAACAGCCACATATTTCAAGGCAGGGTAATATTTTTTCAACTTAGTAACTAAATAATTTATTTTAAAAAACCTCCCAAACATTCTCAGAGGGGGAAAAATGCAATCAATCCCTTTGCTGTGGGTTAAGGCCAATCAGCAATTATTATTAAGAGACAAAGAATCCAGCTCTATGTGTCTGTGTTTCGTATTTCTAACGTAGTGCTAGTTAGAAGCTCAGCTTGCTAAGGGCTACTTGAAAGCTTCACGAAGAGTGTTGTGGTGCAGAAGGAAGGAGCTTGGCAGGTTTTTTTGGTTGTGGAATGTTTTCTTTGGGAGGGGTAGTGTTTAAATAGAATACTAGGTTTCAATGAAGAGATTACTCAGACTTGCACAACACATTCTTCCGAAAGATAGCAAATTCTTTCCTTCCTTTTCTACTTTTGTGCAATATAGTTTATACAACAGGCATCTGGCAAGAAACACAAACACCCATGTAGAGAGAACAAACTGCTCAACACCAAGGGAGCTTCTGCTTTAAACAACTGCCTAGAAGTAGACACTGTAGTTGTCTTCTCAAGCCTACACTGAGTCAAAACAGGATAAAGTTATTATTTCAGCCACTAATACTTAGCATAGAGGGGAGAACCTCAACCTCCCAAAAATCCAACTTACATTAGAAATTACGGTAGTTAAGAGAACATTAATGGTCTGTATTCCCATAATTTCTCTGCTACTTTTAACTACTGATATAAACAACTGAATTTTCATTGTAGGAGAACCAGAGCCTGCAAAATTTGTTAGATGTATTAGTTTAGAATACACATGTATTAAAATTCTTCTGATAAGGTTGTTGTAGGCTAACAGACCTTATGATTATCCTCATGATCAGAAATTTACATTGTAATGCATTATCAGTAGTGTATCACTATAATGACATCACAATATTTTTAAGAAACAATGTTGTAAATTCTGTATTTTAAAATATTATTTACGTAAGAAAAATATAATTGGAAAAAACTTCAGACATTCAGATAAAGACTGCTTTGAAATTATATGTATTTGATTTAAACTGAATTATTCAGTTTAATTATTTTCATATGGATTCCATTGCATTCACAGATCTTATAACAGATTTTAATCAGAGAAGCTTGTACAGAAAGGAATACTATAGAAATCCAGTCACCTTGTTAGAAGTAAGAAGCAAGCAATACAACAGAACTTTCGATAGGCTATAACATCAGTTTTTTCTGTAGCGATCAAAGAGGCTGGCCTTTTCTCATTGAAAGTAAGTCACATTAAAATCAGACAAAACCTTTGCACAAAGATAAAAGCATGGGTGCAAGTTACTTAAAGTTGCATTCACCAGAGCTGATGACTAAAAGATGTTTCAAAAGTTTTGGCTACAATTTAATGCAGAAAAAAAGAATGCCAGAAATTTTTTTATTTTCTTTTTTAAAGAAAGTGGTGTGCAAATACTAAGGGCACCTCTAGTAGCTGCTGCTTATCAAAAGAACATAAATGTTCTCAGGAAAGAGGAGGAAAAGAACATGGTGGGCATAATCTTTCTTGGACTTTGCAACTCCTGGGTCACAAAGAGATCTACACGAAGAAAGGTACAAGGAGTGAAACTGAAGTATTAATGCAAAAAGAGTCAGGATTTCATGTGGTGTTTCCTGATTTGCATGTCCCCTGTAAAGCTAATATGGCTACTGAAATTATTTTGTAGTTACAATAATATTTAGGAGCTATTTTGTAGACAAAAGGGCTTAGCCCATCTTCTCCCAACTATATTTCTCTTTTAGTAACAGTCCTAATGTTAAAAAATACATTTAAAAAATATAACATTAATCAAACCAATGTTTTGAAAGAATAAGTGAATTTGGTCTCCGATATCTATAACACTTACCTAGTTCAGCCAGCTTTCATGGGCCATAAGCATCAACTCTCAAACTAGTCACCTCAAACACACACCTCATTCCCTCCAAAACAGGCTGTACAATATTGTCTTCACTATCACACTACATTCCAGCTACATCTAATTTCTGAGAATCCAGATGACCCAACTATCCCAGACATTGAGTTCACCTGACAACCCTCCCTGTCCTCTCCATATCCTTTTTTATTTAATCCTTTCCTTCCTCTGCCCTTTAAAAGCTGAACTCTAATCTTAATCCAACACCATTGCAAAAGCATGCATTTTAATGTAAGAAAGACACACACAAGCTGATCTCAGTTGCATTGTTTATTTTTGCATACTGTTTTGCATACTGTTTTCAATGTTAACTGATCTTCTTACGTACAAAGTGAATACTTCTGTGAAAAGCCAGATTGATGTTAATTAACTGTTTCACATTTGTTTAAAAAATTTTAAACATCGATTTTTACTAAAAAAACATGTGCACATACAAACATGCACACACACACAACAAATTTCAAGTTGTTGACTAAAAATAGATTTCATTGTTACATGTTCATATCTAACTTCAAAATGTTTTGCCTATCACTATTTCAAGTAGTTGGACCTCAGTTTAAGTACGAGCTCAGACTGGGCACTCACCTGTTCAGTAAGTTCTCAGACGCTTGTTAGATTCTTCTGAAGGCAGGTCTGCCAGTCTCACTTTAAGCCTGACACCATTCACAATCTTGCCATGTAACGCAGTTATGGCATCACTGGCACTTGCTCTGTCTGCAAATTTTGCATAGGCCACATTTTTTCCAGCCACAAGATAAACTTCTATTAAGTGCCCAAAACGACTGTAAAACAAAAAAGATAATGTAGGGGGTTTGCTGCAACACGGATACCTACTATCCAACCTCAAGTATATATGATCTGGTAACTGCAAAAGCTATATTCTCATACATTTTCTTGAGCTGCTCTCCTCCAAAACTTCTGATTTTCATATTCCCTTATCTAGAATTCCAGGCAGAATAGAAATAAAACCAAAAGTTCATAGGCAATGTGTTCTATGGAGTATTACAGCAGAACCACAAGCACTAGTGATTTATCTCTTGCTTAAAAGAATACAGAAAGCTAATCAACACCGTAGTCCCCAAACAGTAAATGGCACTCAAAAAAACCCACAAAAACAGAACAAAACAACAAGCAACCCCAAACAAACCAAAAAGAACACACGCGAACAAAACAGCAGATCATTCAGAGGCTTAACTTGCATCTCGCTTAGGTGAACTTAGTTGTGATTCATCTTTAAAAAGACATTACTAACATGACTCAGAAAGCAAGTGCTAAAGCTTTAGGGGAAAAGCCAGATTTCCAAGTCCTCAGGAGATTCCTGGACAGTTCCTCAAAAAACTTATTAAAAAAGTAAAACCTGCTTGCTTCACACTGAAGTTATGCAAGTGTCAAGACTACCATGCACAGCCGCCTTCTTCTCCAGCATCTGACTAAGAAAATCCAGTATATCAAATAGGCACAGTTATCAACTCCACACAAATGCACAGTGTTTCTTTTCCCCTTGTGGTGCTTTGAAAATACTTGGCCTTTGCAAAGATTAACTGCAAATGCCAGCCATTAGAAGAGGGAAGTGTTGTCCTCTCTTGAAGAGTATACTAAAAATAAATAATATAAAATACTGGAGAACAGGTGAACTATAGACCTGTTTTAAAGATACCAAAAATCATCAGTCAAGGCTTTGATCCTCGTAAGGAGGCAGTGTGAAAGGACAGCTGAAATAGTGTCAATAAGAGGCAAACCATCAATACATCTCAGGACATAAAAAAACTTCCTACCCTTACTTCTCAAGTAACTGTGGAAATTTATCAAAATACCTAAATTCCTTATAAAAAGATGTGAAAGACAATGCCAAATAAATTAAGCTATGAGAACAGGAAGCACTACATTCTTGGTTAAGCAATTAGAGACTGGACATTTTACTTCAGATGACGTTAACCAATAACAAAGCACAGACACACCACTGCATCTGTGTTTCAAAGTGAATTCCCTTACACACTTGCTTCAAAAGCAACTGTTACCTATTGTTCACACTACTTACTGATCCCTGTACATTGTCTTTTCTAAAAATAGTTTTCATTATGACAATTTTCTTATTTTCAACATGTATTTTAATTATTTCAAGGTTTGTTGGGGTTTGTTTGTTTGTTTTTTTGAGAACACTTAATGTGTAGTCTTACCAGAACACATCCTCCAATACATTTACAGGTAAAGGATGAGGATGAAAAAGAATGAACAGCCTTTCCTTCACACAAGTGTCAGGTGGATCCTTTTTTTTGTGTGGTGGAAGTATAGCATCTGTTTGGGGCTGAATTAATAATGAGCCAGAAGTTCCTCCCAATGCCAGCTGAGACAGGGAAAAAAAAGGTATAAATTAACTGCCAGGGGGAAAAAGTTACTTTACCTTTTTTTTTTCCTAACAATGAATATAAACAGGCTCTACTAGTTCTCATCTTAATTTGCTTAATTTGGTTATTTCATTTAGTTGGGCAATAAATCCAAGTAAGGTCAGATATCTTTACAGGGAATAAAAATGTACAAACTAACCAGAAGCAGAACTTGAAAATACAGCATCTAAAACAGTTATAGAAGAAAGTGAACAATGTTCTTTATTAACATATCTGAAGTTTCTTACAGCAGTTCAGAAGAATATTAATAGTAACAATTATAAACTTACAGGAGGGGTCCTATACTGCTGAACAACTGCATTGTTATTCCGCAACACTGATGACACCTGTGCTGTTACTAGCTGTGTTGCCATTTTTCTGATGAGACTGCAAGTAGAAGTGATAATTAACTATTTTAAAGAAAGAGTCAAGTTAGAGTAATCTTAAATTCCACAAGAGCAAGTTAAGTTTTAATGCACATCTAACATTACCTCTGGAAATCTGTAAACTCATGTAAATAAAAATTAAGTCAGGCTTTCATGACACACTAAATATGATCTGAAAGAATGCATCCTAGCTGCAACTCACTGAAAACACTCATATTTCTACATGCAGAGTTAAAACTCTTCTTTGCTTTTTTTAATACTCTGGGGGAAAATATTAAAGTTAACTCTGTAGAGCCCACTGCATTTCGTGAAAAGTGCCTAAAAGGCAGAAGGGACAGAAAAATTTCTCATTTAAATAAGGAGCAGAGAGATTAAATTAAAAAGTCAGAATATTATCACAGAAAGCTTATTCCAAGGTCTCATTTTCCTGTAATTTCTCTTTGTTCTGTTGCAGAGTAAGAAGAAGCAATTACGCTTTTTGCAGATTCACAGCCTGTGTTGCAGGACCAAGAAATATCAGGAATTATTGAAGAGCAAAGGACAGTTGTTTGCAAGAAGTATTATTGCAGTGGTTTATTTTTTTAGTTTAGATCAGGCACGCACTTCTCAAGTGAGTCTCCCATTGTCCCTCCTTACTGTCCTCATTCATATTGCAGAATAGGTTTGACATGAACTAGACTCTTTTAGGATGAAACTAAGCCAAAAAAAAGCTTACTCTAAACCATTCAAAAACCCTACACATTTGAATTTCAGTAAATACTATCTACAACTATGGAACAAGATCACTGCTGTTACTTCTTATGTTAAAAAAATATTGTTTAAACTTTACTCTCCAGAACACAACTTACAACATTCCATCTCTGTGTATTGGTACTTACTCTGAGCTATCACTTCCATCGTCTAGGAAAATGACAGTTAATCTATTTCCAGGAGGATACTCAAAACCGTGTAACTTATACTTGGCATATATGGCTGATGCAGCAGTACTGTACTGAATCACAGCATAACCTACAAACACAGTGCACACAGTTTCAGTATGATACAGGTAAATCCCAAGAACAAATTACACATATCAAGTGAGATGATTAAATTGCACATCAGTCATGCACGATAAAAAGTTCTTAAGTCTTTTTATCACCTAGTACACTACTTAATTGCAACATTACTAGTAATTGTGCAGAAAACTTCAGTGGAATTAACTAGTGACAGATCAGCTTTTTTTATGCTAACTTGAAAAGCTGTTAATAAAAAACTAAGTAAAAACCATGTGTTCTTCCCTAACCCTGAATCAGAAACAAAACTATATACAGTTCCACTTTAAAACGTAATTATCCCCTCAACAGTGAATAAAGAGTACTGTAAAGTTACAATGTTACCCTCTGAATCACTTCCATTTCAAACATACAAAATTATTTGTTCTGGAATGATTTAATCTTATTTACTCATGTCAGCTTCAATACACAAACACACACAAACCCCTGTTTCAAGATGAAAAACCTGAAGATCTGTTTATAGAGCATTAAAACTAGATGTATAATAGTTCAAAATTTTCTTTTTATTCTGCCCAAAACCATTAACTAATTTGCCAAAAAGAAAACCACTTATTGTTTTGATACTGTCCTTAGTGAGATTTAACCATCTGAAAATAAAAAGATATCTAAGGCTACTTGTAAACGGGTTCAAACAAAACTGATCTTGGGAGTTTATGCATCAGTGATTGCAGCAGCCACTGATACATAAAACACTTAATTCATTCCAGAAAATCCGTTGTATTTTGCAATACAAATTAATCAAAGTACAATTACATTCCCTTCATATAAAAGAAAAAAATAATCCACTTTGTACTTTTACTTACCACTATTGGTATGAGGATCTCGTTGAACATCACAATATTCCAGTCCTGGGACTAGATCAAAGAGGGCAAACAGCTGCTCTTGAGTAAAGGGAAGACGTGAGACCACTGACAGACGTTTGGAGAGAGGCTCCTGAATTCTGTTCTCATTTTTTTCAAAGCTACAAAACTCTGGCTGCACACCTCAATTATATAAAAAATAAATAAATAATACACGTCATCACACTAACATACCTTAATTTCATATATATTTTCATTCAACTTTTAAAAGTAATCTAAATCAATAATATAGTAAAGGTAACATGTCTGTTTCACCAGCATAGACAAAATAATCAGCCAACTAGGACAAAGTGAGTCACAAAAATACAGAAAATAAATGCCTGTCTCACTCCTAACTCCAACACTCAGTCTATTCAATTTAAGTGTTGAGCTAAGCCTTCATTAGCTTCCCTTCTTCCGAACAGCATTCTCACTTTCTGACCATACTCAATACTGCAAATCTCTTTTAGTATGCAAAGCTGTTACTTACAACATGGAAGTGTATTTCCTCTTAGTTCTTGCCTCATGCTACTGCTGTAATACTCATGTTCAAAAGACTCAGATGACTTATTTTTAGGTTCAGCCAAAATGGCCCTGTAGCCTGGAAGAAATGAGCACACATATAATGACACAACACATCTGAATTACTTGACCAGACCTTTATTCTTTGAGTACTGCATTTAGAAACTTATTCGGAAAATCCAGTAAGTGTTTCTTTAGGAAAATAATACACCTATAGCTCTTTAAGTCTGCCATATCAATTGTGTGAAAGCTAACAACTTCCATGTAGAACTAGTCCTCCTCACAAATTAAGGACAACAAAGCTTAGTTGCTGTGAGGGTGACTGAGGACTGGCACAGGTTGCCCAGGAAGCTTGTGTTGTCTCCATTAGTCTCCATCCTTAAGAGATATTCAGAGGTGTCTGGACACTGTTCTGGGCAACACTGGTGCCTCGACGACCTTGGTGAAGCAGGGGCATTGGACAAGATGACCTCCAAAGGTGACCTTCCAGCCTCAAACATTCTGTGATAGCTGGGAGGATTCTGAGATGTTCTACAGGCTTCCATACTGTACCAGCAGTTTATTTATGTTTTGCACTGAACTAGGTTTTGCTTTCATGAAAAAATTAGGTATTACACTCAGGCTATCCAACTAACTTCATTTTAACTTCACAGCAGAAAGAAAAGAAAATTTAACTGCTAAATAATCTTGGAGTCATATTCCTATACAAGAATTGTCACAGATACGTTAGGAAACCACTTATGATAGATATAACTACTATGTACATTAACAGAGGAAAAAAGCACACAAGAACAAAAAAACCCCTACATTCACACACCAAGTTGTTTTGTATTTGTGCACAAGTGAGCATAAAACAGGAGGTCAGACTGGAAGGCTGCTATCAGGTTTCCCCAAAAGCCCTGCTCCTGGAGGAACAATACACCATGTGCCATCAGTCTGGACCACCCTGGTGGCCTTCCACCAGATTCACTGAAATTCATTAACACAGGTACTAGAGCATGAACAATGGTTGGTCATAAAGCAAAGTCTTTCATTCATGGCAAAACAAAAACTTCAGTTAGGGTAAATTCGTTCTTAGCTAAATGTAACCACAACAGAAGCCCTACGAATTATCAAATGTATATGTAAATTCATATTCCCAGAGATATATTGAAATGAGATATTACTGTGTATGAAGCCTAGCTTACAGACCAATGATAATGTGTCCTGGTTTGAGCCAGGATGAAGCCAATTTTCCTCTCACAGACTTTTTTTTTTCCTTCAGTGATCTCTCTTTTAACTAGCAGCAAGTTTCCCAGCTAGTTGACTGATAATGCTGGAATGTATATGTTCGTTAAAAGACAGCTCACTGAAGGGAAAAAAGAAAAAGCACTAAAAGGAAAATTGGCTTCATCTTAGCATTCATACCAGGACATAATGCACGCAAGAAACCTCTCTATCCATTTCCAAACTCTTCACTGATTTTACTCACAGTTTGGGCCTGTCAGATTGTAATCAGGCAACTCTTCTCAACAAATGTTAATAATGCTGGCATTTTATCTGCAAGAGAACTTAGTCTGAAGATGTATTTACATCACAAATAATTTACCTGCAAATAAGACTAAAAAAAAAAAATAAATCACAAAGTACACTAACTGTGAAAACCCTGAAAGAATTAAGTAATATTCTTACTTCGATCACACTCTTCAATTGCTCGGGCAGCTTGCGATGGCTTTAAATACCGCACGTAGCCCAAACCTTTGCTCTCTCCAGTAGCCTTGTTTTTAATTATGCTGCAATATTCAATGTCTCCATACATCTAAAAAATTAAAAAGGGTATTAATTTACAGAATTTGAAAATGCATCAAAGTTTCCTGTGTTCAGACTTTCTGATAAATTAAGAAAAAGCCAATTTAAAACAACAATTAACAAATACTGAGTACCTTAAAGTTCTCTTGCAGATCTTCCTCTGTAAAGGTTTTTGGTATCATAACAAAGATTCGTGTAAGCTCCTCATCTTCAACATCTCGGTGGCTTCCAGAAGCTCTTGACTGTGCAATAAATACCTAACAAATGAATTACACAGACATTAATTACTAGAGAAATGTAGTCTTAACTACATATCAACAAGCAAGAACAATTGTTTTAACAAGTCTTTGTATTTATTTTTCACATAAATTACCTTCCTAATACAGGGGGAAAAAGAGCAAGAAAACCCAGTATCTGATTCTAGATGCATCTATGATGAGAGACCTACCAATACCCTAAACTTCAAATGGTTTCCCAAACAGGAGAGAAGCCAGCAGAAGTTCTCACCAGAATACTGAGGAATGGTCAGAAATATCAAACCCTGATTCAGCAGCACTGCCAGTGTCACAGGTGGCCTGTGAGGTAGCAACACATGCACTACTGCAGGATGCCTGGTATAGCAGCAGTAACAAAAGAGCCTGGCAGCTTAACTAGAACTTGCTACTGCAGTTGACTACTCAGTTAGGCCAAAGTTTGCATGTCTAGTGCTCTGTGAGGATCACAACTTCTCACACATGTAACTGATCAAATCCTTTTTAATTTCATCTCAAAAGTGCACCGCAAAAGACAACCTGGTTAAAAACAAAACAACCAATTAAGAAAAAGCCAAACAACCATCAAAGTAAGCCTCTTACACAAAAGCAGCAAGTGATTTAACAGAGCTCTGAAATTATTTTTCTAAGTCATGCATTCTAATGGTCTGATCTTTTGGCTGCTAATGGCAAGTTCTTCAGAAAAGATTTTACTGATTCAATTGCTTTTTCAAATGGGAAACACGGAATCTTCTTTTTCTATGCAAAGTCAGTCATACTTTCTCAGTACTTGGAGCAAAGGAAATCAAGAGACTGAAAGCTGCCAGGTATAAAACCAATATCAAATATTCTTGCAAAGACAGTTCTATCTATCCACGTCAACCTTGCTTACAACACTTAAAACATCTTGTCCGACAGTTTTTCACGGAGATTCCCTCAAAGTGAAAAACTAAAAGCAAAAACCGCGCTGGTTTGCAGGCCCTGCGTTTGCCCCAGGCCAGGGCGGGACGCTCCGCAGCTCCTCCCG